GCAATTTGCGAACAGTGTGCATCAAAAGCTAGGTCACTGCAAATAAGGAGGCCCAGGTCTCTAATTTCTTTGACCTCATCCAGGCATACCCCTTGAATCGAATACGAGGACATGCTGTCAACCTCACCTATGCGTAGCCCCTTGGTTTCCTCACTAGGTAGAGGGAAACCCCATTTCTTGGCCCAAATGCTAACCTCATTAATGCCGCTTGCAACAGCACTTTGTCCGAGTCAGTTGAGATTGGGTGATACATTTTGAGATCATCAGAGGAAGCAGCATCAGTTGTTGTAGTTGTATCCCTTCCCTAACAGCCCTTCGCAGCCATTTTTATCCCTTTTAACAATTCAAAAATCATTACCAAGGCAGAGCGATGGAGGAGTGGAATTTGTACCAGGCCTCCAACTAAGCGCGTCGCAGTTCAACTTGGTTTCAAGCCGACTTAGATCACTTTCAGAATAAGCTAAACAGAGATTCTTGTTCGCATCAAATTAATAATTCATTCGCAACATAGATAGGTCCGTTTGATGCAGGACAAATGCGATCACTTTTTTGGCTCTCTTTCCCACCGCGAAAATCCTAGAAAATGAAGCTGCATGTTTTCTACACAATTCCTTCAAATAGTTTCCAACTTCATCCCCCCCTTTCTCTTTTCGACTATGCAGCCGTTTCAAATAACTTCCGACTCCCTGAAAAATTTTCGTTTGCTCGTTTTCCAACAAAATCAATGTTTCTCTGTTCACACCTATTTTCTCGTGCGCTGATTAGTATGCATATCTAAAAACATAAAAAAAAACTTGGAACAAGCCCAAAAATCGCGCTTTAAATAACTCTGAAGCTCTTACTCACTAGCAATACAGTGGAAAAGTAAGCAGGTAGCGGGAACTCCCAAGAAAAAAACTAGTTCAGCGCTTCGTTTGTTTGGTTTGCTCACGACTGAATTTGATTAGAGTCTTCATCACTCGTGGAATCCAAGCTCCTCATGGAAGTGCTTAGTCGGTTGATGCTCTTCTTTCCTTTGGCTCATGCCTCAAGTCATCTCAAAGATGCCTAATGGAGTTTGTGTGAAGACTTTACTAGGTCATTCTGTCATTCTGATGCTGTCCTTGGATGCTGGAACCTGAATTCCAGGTACTTCTGTGTTTGCTTAAGATCGTTGTGACTGGTTTAAAAACAGTTCCTCCAGGCATATTTTATTCCACTACATTCGGCACACAAGTAAGGAAAATCAATCAAAGAATTCGATGACAAACTTCGATTTTTCTACTTGTTCCGAGTTTTTTTTTTCCGCAAGCTGATAACACGAAATAATTTTGTAGCAGGACGCACCTCGACTGCATCAAATAAATCAATCGATTGATTATCAATTTACAATCAATCAATTAATAGTCCAAGTACTTAAGAGCCGTTCGGTGACGGAGAGGAGCGTTCTGCCCTTTCGTTGCACCACTAGTTCCGGTTTACTAGTCTCACTGTGGTGGAACTTTGAGCTTTTGAGAAGCTGGAGCAAGCTCTTCGGACCAGTTCGACGCTTCACTACAAGAAAGGCCTCTCTAGATTGTCGACACCTTGCGAACGAACATTAGACAAATCCCTCCCACCCTCTCCTTTTGCCAAACTGCCCACTAGTTTGTGTTGTTGTAATGTTGTTGTGTGTTTGATTGTTGTTGTACGTTGTTGTCGTTGTCGTTGCAACAGTCATGTTATCGCTCGAAGTCACTTTTGGAAGATTCAGAAATGCTCACGAATTTTCAACAACTTCGTGGCGGAAGCACAACAATATGACTACATTAAATGCGAAAAAGATTAGAGTCTATGACGAGAATCCAAAGCGTCCACCAGCCACCAAAGTCAACCAGAGGACTAGATGAAACCATTAACATCGCAGTAATGCGACCATTACTGCGATGTGAATGGTTTACAACGGCGATATGGACGGCATGTAAAAATGAAATGACTCTGAACTGCTACAAAAGAATCCCTAGTGACTCACTAAAGTCGTTCTCGTGACTTCTGAAACAATTGATCTCGAGGTATACCCCTACTTCCAGGGAATGAGTTGCGTTCATTCAAGGTCGAAGAAACGCGACAACGCGCGCAAAATGTTGCTGAACACAGCAGCGGCCTTGTCTTTTTTTACTTATTTCCAATTTTCTGAAAATAATATCAAATCGAGTTTATTGGCACCTTTCACTGAAGAAAGGTCATTCACCTAGATGACAATAAACAAAAAAAAACATAATAATGAAGCGATAAAAGAGTGTTCTTAGTGGGTACATTTGCTTGGTCTTGATCGCAAACAAATCTCACCGCGGCAAAGTAGGGGAGATAACCTAGTTCTGAAGTAAAATGAACAGCACTGGGAAAACTTCAAAATTGGCAATGGATGCAAATCATTAATTTGAGAAAGGCTATACGAATAAATAGCCTTTGAATGCTATGGGGTTAAAATTCCTCCGGAACAGAGTTCCTTTTCGTTGCCTGCAGTAATATGATATCTAAAGTCGATGCAACATTTAGTGGAGTGTCCTCGGCAAAAAGTATATGCCCCAACTTTTGATCTGCTTCGCCGCAGTTGCAAGAGGCCGTCTGCGATACGAGAAAAAGTGTGTCGTAAAAAATCATTCCAAAACGTTGCTGTTGAACGTAGTGATTTGTGTCTGAATGTGCTGCCTGTATTCACTCCCTCAGAATACTATGTCCCAAGTTCATGTCGTTCCTGCTCTTTTCTGGCCTTCATCCTGGCAAGTCTGAGCTCCTCCTATAGGATGTTTATAAGGAGTATGCTCCCATTCGCAGCACCGTCTTGGTCTCTTGGTTGGCCAAGTTCAAAAAAGGTGAGTATTCTATTGGAGGACGAAAGGACAGGGCGACGAACTAATTTGATTTATTCACTATTGCGACTAATAATGTAATGATCATTACGGCAAGAATGGAGACAGAAAAATTGCAATAGAGATGCAAAAAATAATATAGGTAGTAAGGTACAGAAAAACTTGGGCAGGAAGGGTGGTGTGAGAGGGGAGGGCCAGACAAATTGGAGAAGAAAGGGCAATGCGCCGCCACCATTGCAATCCACTGCGTGGATGGTTCCGGATACCAACTTGGTAGGTGCGCCAAACAAAGTCCCCTAGTTCCATTGCCCAAGCGAAGACAGGCGGAAAGCAGGGGGGGAGGGAGGGAAGGGGGAATAAACTTAGTAATAGGTGGTTACATACTGAAGAAGAAATGAAGGAAAAAAACAAGTATTCACAACAACATGGATGAACCCTGAGGCTAAATAACTAGAAAAAAAATTGAAAATACTATCAGGCTTATGTTATTTTTAGAAAAGCACATTATGCATGCTTGAAAAAGAGTTCCCACAATTTCTAAATTTTTTTATGCACGTGTACTATGCCTTGGCCTACTTGGCATAATACTTTGCATTTTAACTTATGAATTCAACTGAATATTCGTTGTATGGTAGGCTGCCACGGTTCCTTCTTCACCTTCTGATAGCTTTCTCCCAGAATTATGCCGAACTCCAAAGGTCTCGTACGGTAGTACGACTTCCAGGCTCCGAACAAGGCAATCGTGCCGAAACGTTAGCCTACTACTGTGCTTAACAACCTCGTGTGAAGTTTCAAGACAAATAAACATTCAGCTATTATGCCGAGGTTCATCGACAGCCGGACATGGCGGGGATCCAAACTGTCTACATTTTGCACGAGAAGCGAAATTGTGTGTCAAAGTACGGCACTTCGTACATGTAGGGGCCCACAAAATCCCATTTTGCATTCAGCATTGTGCTTGTCGAAGGTAGACAGCGTCACAAAGAGATTGTTATCAAGCCTCCTAGAATACTGGTAACATCAGTTGTGTTTGGCTGTGCCACAATTTCCAAATGCAATGAACCAATGCTAGCTCGGAAAGGGCGAGTGTGGAAAGTAAGAGAGGGTAGCGACGGAATTGGGGCAGCTAAGCTAGTCCAGAATTCCTCCAGCGCACATGGAAAGTCCGACGTGTGGCAACTGAATGTGAGGAATTGACGGGACGCTCCTGTGAACAGGAAGATCCACTGAAAAGCAGAAGAATGATCTCTGTGCGATGCAGGAAACAAGATGGCTTGTTATGGTATCTTACCCATTCTTATAACTCCCTACCAATGGTGTTCCTGCCCGACCTCCTACATCACTTATCAGTTCGAGCGCTCTATCGCTGTTTTGAAGGAAGTTATGAATTTCCGGTCAAACACACATACAGACAAACATGCATTCACGCACACACAAACCAACAGACAACGCTAGCGGATTGTATATAGTAGTAGGTTACCACAACTTCACTGATAAATCACTGTAACCTTTTTTGTGCGTAGGAGCACGGCTACAGCACAGTGATACCGATCCACTAGACTATGTTAACACAAACGTGTACGAATACAACTTTGTTTCCCGTTCCAGTAATGGCTCCCGGTTGCTGCATTGGTGCCATTCCGTACTGAAAAGTAGATCTCTACTATTTCCCAGCGCATTATTATACGACATTAGTTTGTTGAAGTTACATGACCGCGCAACTTTGCACAAAACGTTCTTCTTCCTTTTTCGAACGGACGTGGTATATGTTGCGGACGTTGGCGTCGCGAAACACAAGTGATGGCCAGGTGAGTCGGACAGTGAAGTGGTAAGCAGCAGTGGGAGGATAGAATCAAGAGCAAAAAGGTTAAATGCTGGAAGTGCAAGTGCAGCAGATCAATGACTTTATTTCCCTAGTCGTTGAGTGGTGTGCACGGCTCAAGTTCAAGGCAAGATTTATTTCATCTCAAGTAACGAAGCAATGGAGCGTTCCTACATTTTGATCCAGCAAAAGTGAAACTGTGAGAGTGCTAAGTTCAAATTTGCTAGAACCACACTTCAACTCCTTGTCATTGTAATATCTCATCCAATAAAAACAGAGAAAATAGAGAATGTATCCTGTTCTCGCAGTTTTATGGTTAATAGCTGACATCCTCTTCGGTCAACGGTTCAGCGCCAATAGGTAACAAATCCAATTTTGGGCGCGGAAGACCGTAAAAAGGTAAGATATGTCCGGATTTGTTCCATGCATGTGATTTCCTCCTAGAACGAAATTGATACAATTTTAGATACTCTGATGATAATAATAGATTGCATGTTTGTAAGAGCTCATACTGCCAAAGGCTACACATAGCTGTTTGCTGTGCCTTCAAACGGCTTCACCACCTTTCTAGACGAAAAGTGGAAAACAAAGTATTGAAGGGTTGTATGAAAGCTCATTCCGCGTTGATCGCACTAGCCGAGTCACTCAAGCAACCGGGCTTTTCCAATGCTTGTTGTGACATCAATGAGAAGGCTAAACAGTAAGAAGGAGCACCTCATATGAGTGACTCCGCTCATACAGCAACCATAGGACGTCACTGTCAAAGAGGCGCTGTCATTTGCTATATCCCCCTTTATAATAACAAATTGATCAGCACATAGGCTGACCCCAGCAGCCCATTGTGAAAGCCAGATTGAAAAGAAGAAGACGAATAGTTTGATTACGCGATGCGTAACAATGGCGCTGTTCGGTGTCAAGCAGTCATCTCCTACTGAAGTCTTGAAAAAAGGATCTAATGTGGCTTTATTGTAGATATCCCGCCCACGCGGTTCATGACGGAAAGGAACGAGAACCCTCACGGATCTCTCAATCCCCGTCCGAAACGAACATGAAGTGGCTCAAGCCATCTCGAGTGATGTAGCTGCAGAATAAGAGGAGATCCACTCACAAGTTTTTGGCCATCGACTTCTTTCTCCTGCACACAACCGTCACCTCTGTCGCCCTTGCTGTGAACGAATACAGCCATCTAAATGCAATTCCTACTGTAACAAAAATGTTGCTTTGTCAGAATAAATGTTTTGTTGTGTAGTCCATTGCAGTTGAAAAGAACTAAGTAATAAGTAGTAGTTTAGAACCTATCCTCAACCCAGAAATTGACAGAAGTACGACTGCGACATCAGAAATCTTCCATGCCTAGGAAGTATTTCTACAACTCTCACGCTCTGGCTGAAGAAGTCTCAGATTTGCTCTATTGCTAAGCATGTTTTGCTGTCACTGTCACTTACGCTCATGGAGCTGAACCCATTTACTATTTAGTGAGATGACGTCAAGGGGAAGTAAGCTTGACCGTAATCGGACGCGCTACTCGGCCAGACGCGGAGGAGTCCCAGACGGCATCGTTATCTCTACCTTCAGCATCATCCGCACGTTCTCAAGTGAAGAAAATTTTATATAGCTGCCAAGTTCTTCTCACACATGGCAGAGACTGTCCCCAGAGGTGAGCATAGAGTATGTATTTGAGACACTGTTGTATAGTCGCAGTCAGTCGTGCCTGTGTCAGGAGTCATGGCATGCCTACCCGTGGCGTTTTCTATCACTAATTGTTTCCTTCTTGGATAAAACGCGACTGGTAGAAGATGCTGCGTGTCGTGTAAAAGATGCTATTTCATAGGGAGCACCTGGCCTCAAAGGGGATCAAAAGAGACATGCTCTACTGGTGCTTTCGCTTATCTGAGGTCCCACATGGGTTCTTTTCCGCTGTCCACCACTGGGAAGTTGTTATAAGCACTTTGGGTAGGTGCCACAGTAAAGACAGTAAAACGAGTGCTCGTTAGTTGGTATGATCTGAAACATTGTTGCTATCAACCAGCGGAATAGGTGTGCTATGTGAAGTTGCCTTGTCCCCCAAACAGCAGACAACTCAACTTCCTGCAGCTATTACGGAATTTCACAGAATTTACATCGTACGGTATCCAGTTGCTTCCATCGCTCTCTTTTCGATGGACGCATGTTGTGAGGTCGTCGTACTTTGGTACTGCAGAGTACCGGAATGCCAATGTCATCTCAATGTGTACTACTTCTATTGCCTAATAAAAACACGGTTCGCACTATTTGCATGTAACGAAGTCAGACTTACTATTATGCTTTCATCATTTGTGAATTCTTTTTTACAGTCTTAGAAGGATGAATGCACCAACGAAGGCGCAATAGCCGGCCCCGCCCCGCCCGCACGACTGGTGTGAAATATGCCTTTATACAGCTCTTTTTTATAGTCTTCATAACACTGAAGATTCTTCACGGGCTGTTGTCAGCTAATGAATAAAGTAGGGAAACGTGCTCACCTTTCGGCGCTGCGGTGCATTCGCTCTAAACTTGAGCTCGAAATACTTGATGATGTCGTCCTTCGTTACTGATTTCAGAGCTTCTACCTCAGCGTTCTCTGGAAAGAAACTAATCGTTGATCCAAATGGTTGGATGGTCCCTTAGCTAGGAGTATGAAAAGAATTGCGAACCCGCAAAAGTTGACAGTGACTGAAGAAGAAAACTCACTTCTATCAAAATCGTATCCTCTGGACTTGGATTTCGTTCCAGAATTCATCTGAACGTGCTTTCAGGGTTTTCGGTTTTTCCAACATTTGCGCTATCAAGCCGGCTTTCTCCTTTTCGAACTCATCACCCGCCATCCTTACGATTTCTTCCTAGTAAAAAAAGCTCAGTGCTGTGACTTGCAAGTCATGTGTATCTTCAAGCGAACTCTTCAATGAACATTCCCTTCCTATGCGCTATCATAGACTTCGCACTTTTTGAGAAGTGCAGGGAGTGCTGCAGTCATCATCCCTGAAACGAGAGCATGTGTGAAGGGGCTTAAATTGAGGAGCAGCTAGAGTAATCTCTTCCATCCTTTTGCGGACTGAGATTGCCTTTTTGGGTAGGAAAGGCCATCCTCACCGTAATGCCGTCTGCGCTTTTCATGCGCCCTCTCGTTTGCAGGTATAAGGGCATTTCAGCAAGCTCTAGAGAGCTGTGTAACGGGCCTTGCAAAGCTTAGATCAATTATGTGGTCCCAAAGCCATTGGGGGCAATGTGGAATTCTTTTCTAAAGCTGGTTTCCCTTTAGGATATTATTTAGATTAAAAATAACTTCACTACCATTGAGAATCAGCCAAATGTGTCCTGAAGATGGAATTTGCGCGCCTTTTACAAGCCTTAAGTTTTGCCTTCTTGGAAACTTGTTTTCCAGTTGACCGCATGGCTCCTCAAGGGGAGCAGTGAAGAGCAAAATCCCTACCGCTAAAAGAAATTTTCAGAGAATACGACCCTCCCCCTTTAACAACGTCAAGCGAATACGACCCCCTCCCGCGGATTTCTCCAACGATGTTGATAGGGCGTGTGAAACAGGAAAAGCCAACTACCGAAAAATAGTTCTCGATCTAATTACCACCCTTTCGCTCCACCGACCAAATGCGATCCTGCGCTGGAAATTCGTCAATGCACACCGTGCTCTGGCCTAAACTTGAGAACTTCTGCATCTGAATCTCTCTGGTCATCACGCGACTACCACAGTATACTGGGTCAGCTCTCCAAAAACTACTAGCTATATCTTGCCGCAAAGCGGATGCTGACACATGCAAGTGTCGAGGACAACTCTACGTTAATATCGTTTCAGATTTTTCTCTGACTAAACCTTTGTGGTCTCATCTGATACATTTTCATGTGAGCTACCTCCAATTTTCAGCAATAAGAACCATTGGTAGTAACAACACTCACTCCCATCTTCTCGAGGAATGCCTCTATTCTTCCGTGAACGTGATCAGGACTGTGAGTACCTTGCACAATAAACTGTAGAGCATTTGTCCCTGCACTCTGCCTTTTCTCAATCGAAACCGTGTACCCTAAGCAGTAAGACACTGTTCAATACGATGAAGCGAAACAGTTATTTATTTTACACAGAAGGCTATAGTATTGTTACACTTACAAATAACAATTCCATAAAAGGCAATAAAACCGAGATAAATTGACTACAAAGATTGCATTCCCTACCCCTGATCCCCATGGCCATCCATTTCATCAGGCCGGCTTGGTGCCGAACCTGTCCTCTGGGATGAAAAGGATGCCGATTCAACCCGGGCTGCCTAGACAAACGCTTCTGCTGGGCATGCACTCGAGTGCTAAGGTTTCAACTCAGAATGAAACTTTACAGTAATTTCTGTCCTCGGAGAACAGAGTTAACGAAAAACTGCCTCGATTTTTGAGGACTTGGACAGTAGAGGATGAATGGTGCGCCGAGTTTTGTAATATAACTACGGCTAAAGAAAGGCAAACAGAAAAGTGATTGGGGAAAACAATTTCCATACCCAATGTTTCAACGGTCCGCAACTGATTGAATCCTGGTTCCTCGAGAAGCTTCACTATAAGCGCAATTAATGCGTTTTCCCTCGTGTTCTGGAAATGAGAAAGAAAGACAACTTTGAAAAATTTATAGAACGGCATCCATTGTGACAGGACCTGAACTCCTGCTTGATATAGCACCCTCACACAGGACAGATCATGAGTGTTCTGGAAAGATCGATACACATATGCATCACCTATAAATCAAAGTATGAGAAAGTGCTGTCAACCGTGGAACCTTCTCCCTGTGGCTATTTATGGTACCAACCCAAAACTAGTTACGGTTTCATCTCAAAGGCATAGGGCACGATAATTCGGTACCCGCTCAAAAATAGTGGCAGGGATGCCAAAAAGTAGAAAAATGACGAAATCGAGGTCAAGTGGCCAAAGACCTGCGGAAGAAGCCTATGTTCTGTTCGCAAGAGAACAGGCACTTCTGGACGAGTTCTTCGTTGGCCTCGTGCCAACAACCGTTTTTAGTTGCTGCTTCACATATGTATTCATATATCCGTTGTGCAACCTTCATAATGTATAATGCGCCCTCTCTGTTGGAAAAGGCGCATCCGGTGGTACTGATTGCTGATTAGTGCGGCCATTTGTGGGCGTGTCGTTGTTGGAAGGAGTTCCTATCGGTTTGTCAAACCTCGCTAGGATGCTTAGGAACTGTTTTTCGTTGGCATCACATCATGTAATGCTTTCCCAAGAGCGCGGAATTCTGTTGATCGGCGTGTATCTCACATTCCTAGGGAATTTATCGTGCTCTTTACCTTCGAAGCAGTGAATGTGACTGATTAAAACAGACCGTCTTCTAGAGCGTGTTCTCTCGGTAATGCGTATTCGTTTCTGAACAATGGCCGCGATGCAGTGGCGTTACGTAGCATGTTTGTTACTGTAAGGCCAAGTGATAGTGCCTCCTTAAAAGAAGTATTAATAAGACGCGATGGATGGTGCACCTCTGTTTCTCATTTCTCTTACGTTTTCACATAAACTTTCACTCTAGATGAAGGTTAAATGTGCTCAGACAACAAAATATCAGCACTCTGGTCCAATAGGAAAACCTGTCCTGCTCAACTGCATTCAATTTCCTCCAAGCCAGCACTTAACCTCCCGAATCACACTGTGCGAGTGACGGATATCGCTCTCATGGTGGAGAGAGCAGGTCCGCAAACACATGTATACGAGTTTCACAACTCAAAAGAGCGTGGAGTATGGCGAGGGACTCGCGATTACCCGCCCCCCGATTGTGTCACTCCGCTAGCACTGCCAAAAGCTTTTGGCCATATCTACTTCAACCAGTAAAACCTTTTTGGGCACCCAACGTATCATGGCCTTATTGGGGCCATGATCGCCGCGCACGACCTTCTCCACTGGGTCATATGAACGTTGTCTCTGCCGCTTTGGAATGAAATACTTCGACCATAATAATTTCCGTTATGGCTCGCAACTTCCTTCACTAAAGCTCTCTCAACCAGTCGGCTTGAACGTAATCCATCCATGATCGAATAACTTCCGCGGCGACACTCGTTCAGCTACCGGGTCACTTGCGAGGGAGCGCCATCTCCGGGCCCATCAGCTTTTCAAAATCACTTTCTTCGGCTCCTCTTTGATCCTACTATATATAATTCGCTAAGTATGTCTGTCAGTGTGTGCGTCTGTCTGGGTGTCACGAAATTCATAGCGCCAGTCCCAATAGCAGCGAGACTTTGGTACTGGTAGATTATGATATAGAGCACAACTGGTGGATGTCAGGAAGTGATATCTGTTGATAGAGTTTGATAAGAGGCGTTAGGGAAAGGTCACGACGTTCATAAAAGGGGTGACAGCATCAGCTGGGCGTTGATTTTAAAGGCAGTTGGCACGATATATGGTACTCGGCCTAAACTGCTAGTAGGGCGTCATATAGAGAAAAAATGGCGAAAAAACGAAGTGAAACGGTCAAAAACTGGAAAAAAGCTTCTGTATTAGAAAGCGATTTCGGACGAGTTTCCCGTAGGTACTCTGCCAATAACCGCCACAGTAGGTACGGCTGCATGTATGTACTCATATATCCATGCAGCACCGCAGCCGCTTCATACCAATGCCTTCGCTTCATATTTTACTTAGCGAATGAAGCAATACGAGCATCAGGTACGGTCGTCCATTTGTGGGCGGGGGGGGGTTCGGGCCAGTATGTTGTAGTAGTTTGGCAGGGCCCTTATAAAGGTACCTTCCCTGAAAAAGGCGTTGTGCAGCGTCTGCTCAGGATCGCGGAATTCGGTTCTGCCAGAGAAGGGGAAGGTCACCATAATGGTAACGCGGGTCACAGCATTGCTTGAGCGATTCCAAGATATGATGCAGTGTATGCGACAAGAACAATGTTAGTCGGTGACACGAACTGTTAGCGGCTGATAAAATTCCATAATAGGCTCTAGAAGGAAGAAAACCACCCTTTTCACAGGGGCCTGAGCCAGCCGAATCGTTGGTTTCAGCAGGTGATATAGTGGGTGGAAAATCGACGGTGGGTGACATAAAGTGATAACAACTGATAGCAGCTTGCCTTCGTCGCCGTTGTTCGAGGTGGTAAACTTTACACCGTCAACGTATAAGCTTCACTGCATCGATGCATTGATGACCGATGACAGGTAATCATATCAATTGATAAAAACTGACAAGGTGTTATCTACACTAAGTTTTATGCCACCTCGACGTGCAGATAATGACGTCGTGCGGGGGATTGGTATATTGTGCGCCTGAGTGTGCGCCCGAAACGGGAAACCGTGAAATTCAGGAATCAAAAAAAATTCGCTAAAATCCGCGGGAACTAAAAAAGGAGGAGGGAAGCAACGGTCCATAGTGAGGACGTCCTGCCTGCGCTCGGTAGCACTATGCATGCTCCTCGTGTGACGCACATATTGACGCAGACAAAAGGAAGCTAGGTTCTTTTGCTGCCTTTCATTGGTTCCACAGTTGTGCTTCTTCAAAGGTATCGAGGTGCTTCATTTTGCGTTGTTCATGCGAATTGCCGAACTTGAACACACTCTCATACTGCATTCATTAATTACGTGATGCAGCCTTTTACCGGGTAAAAGTTAAAAATCAGCTAGGGGAGACCAGGGACGGTAGTAATGTGGCATAAACTGGCAGTTCACAGGTAACCATCAGCTCGCGGTAAGGACGACTGTCCAAAACGCCTATTCCAGAGACTTTATTAAGAAAGGTCGAGGTTGGGTGGTCGTTACCACGACCTGAGGTGAACATTGCTATCCTCCGTTGAACTGCGACGTTATGATGTCGCACTTGAGTTCTCAACCACGAGGGTGGAGACATTACGCGAAACGGAGAGACGCAGATAGTCGCCGTTCTGTGCAGTGAAAAGTCCTCCAGAGGACTTTTCAAAGATGGCCATCTCTGTGGTGCGAGTTGGGGGTTCTTCAACAGCTTTCCAAGTCCAGAAATGCTTAGATCACAGGCCTAGGTATAGCGGGGAGGACAAAAGTGGGTGGTAGGGTTGATGGCCCGAGGGAATGTAAATCGAGATGTGGGGAGGGCGTGGCCATCCATTGCACAGTTGAAGAGAAACTTTGAAAAAAGTGAAATATTTTCTAGTAAAACGGGTACAAGGGGTGATTAGAAAAAAATGCAAATATCATATAAAGATGTGCCATTAGAATATGAAATGATGTAGCCGATTACCCTAATCGACTAGGGGGATGGAGGTGAGAATAAAAAAAAATGAAAATTTGACTAACTAATTTGACTGAAAACATAACTGTTTGCCATGTTCAGTTCATTGCTTGTTACCAGGGACCGCCGCTAAGTCGGCATACTAATGATTAGCGTAGCGACAATTGTGCGCGCTACCACTCGCATGGTGATGAGATCGATACCGACCGCTGAGCGAAGTTTTGCAAATAGCCTAGCGAAGCTCGTTGTTTCCAGCGTGGTTGCCTCGCTCATACATCGCTCGTTGTTCTGCATAACTG